TTCGTGTTGTCGGAGCGCAATATTAAATCTGTTTTGAGTGATGTTATGGCTATGCGTCAGAGAAACTTCGGCTGGGTCTTTAAGTCCACTCTCAACTGCCGTTGTGTTCATCATTTTTCGAAGACGAAATTGCTGTGTTCATATAAAAGTTAAAATTTCACTTTCAAATGAGCACAAGCATTTTGTTTTAGAAAAATGCTGAATATTTTCAACGAATTTTCAGACCGGTAAATTATGTAATTAATACTGTTTAAATAAAATCACAGCATTTACTCAAATAATAAAAAATGTATCATCCGAATCTGTATACATATATATATATATATATATATATATATATATATATATATATATATATATATATATATATATATATATGTGTGTGTGTGTGTGTGTGTGTGTGTGTAATGTCAAAATAAAAAAAAAGAAAGAACAGTAAGATTTATAATCCACAGTTCTTTAGCATTTATCTTGAAAGCCAGTGCTCGATATATTCATCGTAACACATTAATTACCATGTTTCAAATCTAAAAACTAAATTTTACATTATGCTTACAATTGAAGTTTTTATTCCATTCTTTAGCGATGTTGATTAACTTTCGAAAAAATTATTTATTTTTTAAAGCTAAATATTATTATATAGTTTAAGTTAGAGAGAGAAGAGGATTACAAAATTTTAAAAGGGTTTTGGCTTTTTTGACAGATCAGGATACAAGTATAATTTAAGATGGCAAAATGTAAAGGGTTACGTGTGGGTCTGTAATTTCTGCCTGTCGATACCGGCTTCCTTATATGAAGACGTGTCATCCTGTCTGTGTGTGTGTGTGTGTCTTTTGTTTTGTTTTGTTTTGTTTTTTTATTTTATTTAGGGGCATATATAAGAGGAACTACAATACATTGGCATTTATATATTTTTTTAAATTTTTTATACAATACATTGAGATATTCTTAAAGGGGCCTCAAATATGATAAAGTTATATTTTATATATTTATAGTTTTATTTCTAAAGATCTAAAATGCTATATTTATCCTATTTATTAGTATAATAGATACGTTATTATTAAAATTAAAATTTAAAATTTTGGAATTTATGTACTTTCTTATTCAAACAATAGATAAATAATTATGATTATTTTATTTCATTATATTTCAAAGTAAACATAATGCAATGTCTACAAGAAAGTGTTATTTCTTTTCTTTGATTTAATAAAGCTTTATTTTTCAGAATATTAATAATATATAACGTTTCATGTAGGCACAAAGACATGGGTCATTTAAAGATCTACAAGTTCTCGTATTTTTTTAACAATTTCCATTTTACTGTGGGTGTTTTATTTGTTTGTTTTTTTTTTTTAAATGCCAAACATATTTGGATACGGATATTTGGTTACGATACTCATTATTTTTTAAGGAAGACAGATGTTGGCTCCAACTTAATTTAAAGTTATTTTTAGTGCTACCAATATAATTCTTTAATGTTAGAATTCTCAATAGATGAGATAGTACATTGTTAAATTATAGATTCTGTGAGACATTTAGTATTCAATTGACAATTTACAGGATTCCTATATAATTTTTCAATACTATTATTTATTCATATTTCTGAATCACTATTTTTTGATTCTGGTTTTTTAATTAAAGCAAGAAATGTATGTCCTAACTTAATACTAAACATACGTAGTAATGTCTGTGTCGATGAATATATATATATATATATATATATATATATATATATATATATATATATATATATATATGTGTGTGTGTGTGTGTGTGTGTGTGTGTGTATTTTTTTAAGCATTACGCCCTGAGCAAGGCGTGAAGCCACTAGGATGGAGGGGGTTGCAGATGATTTGGATCAAGAGCAGATAGGAGTGATAGAAGAAAGGATGAGGAGAGGGATAGCGGATAGATCAAGGTAACTGGAGATGTCGATTGACATTACATTTGAATAGTTGGAGATTATTGCTCTCAGAGAAACAGTAATTGGGAAGGGTGTTCCACAGGCGAGAGGTGCGAGGTATGAAGGTATTGGAGTAGAAGAGACGGCTACATTTAAAAGTTTCTACAGTGTAAGGGTGGGAGCGGGATGCCAGCCTCGTAGGGCGCTTGAATTCATGGAGTCTGGGAACCAGTGAAAGCAGCTCATCGGAGCAATTACCATGGAAGTATTTGTAGAAAAGACAGAGAGAGGCGGCGGCGAGTCTGTGAGAGAGTGACTGTAGACGAGATGCCAGATCAGGGCCAATTATATTACATATCTCTCTCTGGATCTTGTCAAGAACTCCGGGGTAAACAGAAGGTGCCCCAGGCCATATATAGCAGTAATACTCCATGCAAGGGCGAATGGTCGATTTGTATATTTGAAGTATCGATTCCGGGGAGAAAGATTTCCTGGCGCGGCACAGAGAGCCAACTTTCCTCGCGGTGGAAGAAGCAATTGACTCAATGTATTTGTTCCAACTCAGCTCAGCAGTCAACGTGAGACCGAGCAGACGCAGGGAGTTGCTCTCAAGAAGTTGACTATCAGACGTTCTAATGGGGGGTGGGGTAGGGAAGGATCTCTATGGTGATTAATAGAGAGTAGTTTAGTTTTTGAGGCGTTAAAGTTAACCAACCAATTCTTGCCCCAATTAACAACCGATTGGAGGTCCATTTCAAGACGCACGGCCAGGTTAGTTTTGTCACCAACACTAGATTTATTTTTGAGGCAGGAGTAAATTGTAGTGTCGTCCGCGTAGATGCCAACTTGGGAATCTATGGCGTCAGGAAGGTCGTTGATGAAAATAAGGAATAGAGTGGGGCCAAGGATGGAGCCTTGGGGAACACCTGCGTTCATGGAATAGGAACTGGAGGAGAATCAGTTGAGAACGACCTTCAATTCACGGTTTGACAGTAATGATTGTATTAGGTCAAACAATCGACACGTAATGCCATAACCCTGGAGCTACGAAGAAGGCCGGCATGCCAAACCCTATCAAACGCTTTGGAGATGTCTAGGTCCACGATTGATAAAGAGTTCAAATTTTGGCATCCACATCACACACACACACACACACATATATATATATATATATATATATATATATATATATATATATATATATATATATATTTAGACTTGTGTGCATGTGTAAATATCTATATCTATATATATATATATATGTGTGTGTGGGGGGGGATGAACAGAGATCCCCAATACTTAGTACACAAAGCTAAGGAATTGCCCATCCTTATGTAGTGGACTCTTCTGATGACGTAGGTAAATATAATTTTCCGTTATTTGAAACTTAACAGATAAAATACTATATATACATACATACATATATATATATCTATCTATATATATATATATATATATATATATATATATATATATATATGTGTGTGTGTGTGTGTGTGTGTGTGTGTGTGTGTGTGTGTGTGTTTGAAACTGCCAAATTCATATCATATCCCTTGCCTTGGATGGTAGCCACATTACCCGAAGCAAAACATTAAATTCAAACCGAGTGGGTGGATAAGTGTCGTGGAACGTGAGAATGGCATTCCTTGTACGCTCCTAAGTCATTCAATGGATCCCTCATTCCATTGGTAGAGAGTTTGTAGAAGAAGATACGAAATGGAAATTCAGCATTATTGATGATCTCCGGAACTAACACGCTGACTTTTTTATTCATCAGCAAGAGGGCCGCATACGAAAGCTATAATATTTAGCTTTAGGCTAGCTTAGTCTGACATTTGTAAGCGTCAATAATGTAGAACCTCTGCTGATCAATCTCACTATTGTCTCTTTTTACAAGGGTTTTGCATTCACGTGGTAGTAATTGTATTTTATGTAGATAACGATTAACATATTTTAGTTTAGTACCAGGTACCAATAATGAGGTAACTATTTGGTAGTTAATTCCGTTCCGCCCTGTGTATGACGATAAAATGGAGAAGGATAGCTATTGCAACGTTTATAGACGTCTTGACTAAACTAGGTCAATCGATTCGGAGTTATTCCGGCACGCAGCAAAGTATCCATTAACCTTGAGCTGACAATCAGGATTGTAATTTAAATCAATGGAATTTCATTGACTTTATCAAAAGCGTCTCGTAATGGAAGAATTTAACTTTTCATGCTACATTGCTCTTCAGTGAACATATCTAATCGGAGACTTTATTTGGTAGTACGAGTACTTGTTGGTAAGCAATGGTTAGCATTTTGATGTGAAAGACTCAGGGGCTGTATCTTGGGTAGGACGATAATCTATATCCGGCAGCAAGGCCTCTGATCGGGAGGTTTTAAGGAACGTGAAACCACCTCTTAATTGATACTGTTCCCTAGTCTACCTGATAGCACCTGTTAGGATCCCATCTAAAGAGAGAAAAATAAATATACTTATATGGTGACAGATATACAAACCTGAAAACAGGAAATACATACATTTATGCCATTACCTCTACTGTGCGTACGTGCGTGTAGGTGTGACAGGACGTTACGTGGTTTGATGAAATTAAGTAACCAGCTTGCCTGAGGACTAAGTCGTCTTCTCAGTGCGAAAGAGGTCCGTCTTGTGGTCACTATATTCTGGAGCAATAATGAGAAAGTGGGAGAGAGAGAGAGAGAGAGAGAGAGAGAGAGAGAGAGAGTTCTTTCCTTTTATGCCCCTGATTACCAAGTCACCTAGTGGGCATCAAGCGAAGTTTGTTTGCAAACAAACTGGACTAATCGCACAAACGGCAAAGAAACTACTTACTTGATTGATTGATTATGATTGATTATTTCTAGTCTTATCGAATTTTTTCAGTTTATTTAAAGCCAGAAAATATTTTTAGATTATAAAAAAGTTTTGGAGATAATGATTTTACTGATACATGTTCAACTAATTAACCCATAGCTAAAGGGAGAATCGGTGGATTTCTACCTTCCCTAAAGATATTTGTGCGTAAGCGAATATAACGAACTCGGCGCTTTCCAATTCCGAGCCGCTACCAATTACACCCACCCAACATCCACACTTATATTCCCAAGCGATCATTCATCTAGGTAATAACCAAGCTCAATGTTGCTTAACTTCGGTGATCGTTCGAGAACTGGTGTTTCAACGTTATATAGACGTAAGCCACTAACGTTAGCCACTCATAATCGGGAATAAACTGCTGAAATTTCTCGAACGCATTGTTGTGTACTTTTTTTTTTAATTATGCGAACTAATTATAAATAAATAAAAATTTTAATACAACAGTTTAAATCTATCAGAGATTATATGTTTTTTACGAAATGCTAAATTGATACATAAAGTCATGACTAATTCAAGGAAAAAGCGAATTTTCGATGTCTGGGATGTGTATATCAAGTGCCTGGAAGATAGACAACGAATGAAATTGGGGACATCAATGGATTTTAGATGCAACGGAGAAAATCTGCTGGCAAAAAAAAAAAAAAAATATCTCCAGGAAAAAAAACTTCCAAATTGTCAGCAATATATTTCAAAATGTGCGGGCTTAGCGGAACGAGTCTTATTAGTTCTCAAAGTGACCGCTTGGCGGCAGTAGCGGACCTTTCAATTGTAAACAAAGATGGGTGTACAGTATATAAAGTACGATACATTAGAGCTTGCGTGAGAAGGTAGCAGTGAGAAATCTATTATTTATGTTATTCTGATTAATATATCTATTGAGTATATATTTATTTATGCCATATGTACATGTTTATAATATTTACATTATGATCATAGCTACTGGTAGTTACTATAGTGGTTTATAACTCAAAAATAAACCTTTCCCATCTACGGACAATCGGCTTTAATGGTTCACCTCTTCCCCCTACAAGTTTGTTGATGAGAGTTTATTTTTCTCTATTCACTTATATGTAAATTTAGAAAGAAAGAGTTGAAATTTCTGGGAGGTATAATGAGAAAGGGACGCCTAGAGAAACTAACACTCAAAGGGCATACTGAAGGCAAAAGGATTAAGGGGGAAGAACGAGGGATCTACTTAGAAATTGCATGAATAGATGGCAGAACAGAGATAAAGTTGCGTGTTAAAAGGCCAATACTTTAGAGCAATTCGTCAGGAAATTGTGGGCAGCCATGATCGCTCGCGTTCTCATAAGACATGACCCATAGAAGAAGAAGAATATTGTGAATGTGAATAACGATTTGTTTCTGTTTGCTACGTGAATTTATTTTTATTAATTTTGATCTCTTCAAATTAAGAAATTTAGTAGTAAGTTCATGGGTTATGCAGGAAATATAACAATTAACCCTAGACTTGAAGAGGTGAAGGTTGTAGTGATTCGAGAAACATCCTGCTGGTAGTCTGTTCAGTTCTTGGGAAGAAGCTGTTCAAGTGGAACTTCCTTCTTACTAACGGAATACGAAGGCAATGAAAATGATTCACTTTTGTGTAAGTGGCTTGGAGGGTCCCATTCCAAAGGTCAAGGGGCTAAGGAACGTAGCTCGTCAGAACACCTGCCATGGAAATAGCGATAGCAGGTAAGAAGCTCACGATGTTGCGTCTATGGGAAAGGGGCTGTAGAATGGAAAATAATTCATCAACCACAAGGCCGCGTAGACACTTTAGAACACTATCAAGACAGGCAAATGAGGACAGGGCAGTTCCAGCACAGATTTTTGCAGGATTATTCCATTTTCGTTTTGTAAAGATAGAGTATATAATGAGAGCCAAATAGTTACTGGAGCGCTAAAATAAAGCAATCATATTTACAGCAACATTAGCGATAAATCGGATATGAGTATCACTTATTAAGATTAAGATGACAATGGCACAATGTTAGTTATACATATCAAGCGCTTTATACTTTGCGAATAAGCTGAGCAAGGAAAGCTTACTTACTATCGCTTGAAGACATACGTTCAGTTGTAGGCTTCATATTATGATGACAAAATTAAATCAGGAGAGGGGTGTAAAGATAAAAGTGGGGAAGAAAAAGAAAGAGTAACAGAAACAAAGAAATCGCATCTTTGAAGGCGTTTCGATTTTCAGTGTCTCTTGCAAACTTGCCATTTGACACAGCAAAAAAAAAATGCCACTTGAAAAATATTTCACAAATGGTGAAATCGAGTGTGTTAAAATGTCATGTCAGAGGAAGTATGTTAAAAAGAAATTAAGAAACACCTGAAAAAAAAATGAAAGCGATACAGGCAAAAGAAAGAGAGAAAAAGAAAAAAAAAAAAACTATCGATACTTGACTGAGTTCAATTTTTTATATATTTTTTATGACATTTACTGTTAATTTTTTTCTTTTCTTTTTTTGTGGCGGTTGGGGGGGATGTTGGCGATGTAGAAACACGAAATTTGACAGTCAGCAAAATCATATTACTGAATTTTTCCACACAGAATTTGTGCGTATGCGTAGAATTTATTTTCCTACAAGTTCTCCGTATGGATTTTACAAGTCAGGCACAAGAAAAATTTAAGAATTTTTAAAGAATAAAAAAAAGGTTATTTTTAGTGTACTTTCTATAAGGCTCCTTGCCTTGGAACACAAGCGCGCTCCGAACCTCAATACATATATAACCTATCGATAAATACAATGGAAAATGGGTCGATGCCTTGTGCAGCCGCAGAAGGTACCTGTCTCCTGCTATGTTCTATCCTGACAAGGGTCAGATCATACGAAAAATAAACAATTTCTGCCACCTCTTGGTTGGAGCTGCCCAATTCTCACTTTCAGGCCTTGACAGAGTTCAAACGCGTTTACGTGAACTTGTCGGATATTAATTATTCTCCACACTACAACTGAAACCATGCTAGAAACTCCCCAATCTATCACTATTTTCATATCAAGAGCTTGATTCCTAAATTCCATCAGTCCAGACATTCACATCTGAAAGCAATCATGCCACGTACAGAAAGCCGACTCATTCTAATTTCCTTCTTATTTACTTTGTAAGGAGGGAGTTCCATTTAGTCAGCTTCTCCGCCAGAACTGTTACTTTGCGGAACAGACTCAGTAAACGATGTCTATGATAATAAACTCTTCAATTCTACCTTCTATCTATTCTACATATCCTCATAATATGCCCTTCTTACTTCCTCCTTTTATGACATTATAGCAACCTCATTCAGTAACCATCTACTTTAAGTGGCTCTTCAACATTATAAACCGTGAATAGTAGTATCCAGAAAAAAACTGCTGTTATTTAATCTACATAAACTTCTCCTTGTTAAATTATTTGATAACTTAAAATACTTTACCTTGAACTACAATCTTTTTTATTTATTTATTTCGAAATGAACGATTATTATCGCATACTATAGCAAAAAGACTCCTTCGATATATCGTGTGCAATAAAACCAATTTCGCTTTGAATTGTTACATAATTGGCTCGCTTAAAAGTCTTCTCTTAACATAACCATATATAAGTAGAGCATTGTGACACTATTTAGCTTTTGGCTAACTAATTAAGCATGGAAATTAAAGGCGAGAAATACTTAAGGCGAGAAGAAGCTATCACGAAAGACGTACTGAGCGATGTTATTTTTTTTAACAAAAGAAAAATGGGTAAAGATGTTTTTTTCATTTGCGAAGAAAAGTATTTTTTTCGCAGAAGATAGAAAATTCGTAAGATTTTGGACCTGTCAGAATTAATTTATGCCATGACGCGGCGAGGAAAGGCAGATAGCAATCTGCCCATGGAAATGATGAAAAATTTCAAATTGGTCAAGAGGCTTACAAAGCAGAATGCTAGAAGATTATCGAAAATTGGGTCAAGCATGTGACCGAGAAGGAATTAGGTGGGACCACCCCGAAGAAAAAGTGTGACGGGGACACCTGGTCCAGGGTCGAAACCTTTGGTTACGGCGCCAACTGTGACGTCGCTCCTCCTGGTCGCTCTTCGCTGTTCCAAGCGTGCCGTTCCAACCCCTTGGTTAGATGATTACCAGCCTCGCCTTTCTCAACCCGCTTCCAACACCTGATTACTAGGGTAACTGTACTGATCTCCGGTCTGTCTACCCACGTTGTGATTAGATCTTAGACAGACGGGATCAAACAGGGATTGGGGCCGTATGCAAGTTGAGTCCGACGGGGGTGGCAAAACACAAGTAAAAAAAAAAACTCACGAGACAAAAAATTACTGATAAAAAAGGGTAACAACCTTTTATATCTAATGTTCGTTACATAAAAATTGTTCTTACTTCCCGACCCGCTTTGTGGACTGTGGCACCAAGCTCCTATCATACAACTTAAAGACTTCGAATTGTCTACTCTTCAGAATTGTGTATGTCGGAGTGTGGTCTAGTTCGACACTGGGGCTAATCTCTACCAGTCGTTCACAGCTGATTCTTCACTTCGATTTGGTTTGGTCGAATTTCTGTTCTTGGGCTTGGTTTGATTTCAACTTCTTCTTCTTCCGTCCTGCAACTCTTTTCTGTCGACTGAGGTTGAACTGATTTGCTTGTTTGGCCGGCAACTTTACTGCCTGTCTGAGGTGGACCCTTCTCGCTGCCGTCCGGGGCTGAACTCTCTGTCGTCCGAGGTGATCTCTTCTCGCTGCCGTCCGGGGCTGAACTCTTCTGCTTATTTGGCCTGCAACTCTTCGGCCTGTCTGACCTGCAGCTCTTCTTCTTGTCTGGCCGGCAATTCTTCGGCCTGTCAGGCCTGCAGCTCTTCTTCTTGTCTGGCCGGCAATTCTTCGGCCTGTAGCTTTTCTTCTTGTCTTCGACTTGGCTGCAAATTCTCTGCGGCTTTCGAGCAATCTTCTTCTTCTTCGACTTGGGCTGGAAGGATTTCTTGTCTTAGGATTCTCTTGCCGCAAAGGGGCGAATGAACCGGGCCCGATGCCCGCGTTCCAACTGCTCTGGCCGTCTACCCCGCAACTCATTTCTGTCGACTGGGGTCCTGCTTTTATTGACGCCGCAACAAACTGGGGTGGGTCTGTCGGCGTCAGGGTTTTCTCGATAATTCCAAAAGTCGCATTATTTCTGACTTCCCATTATCGCTATTATTTTCACCCCTACTTCCTCACAGTGCCTCTGGTGGGGAGGCGCATACCCATCTCTCCCGGTCTCTCGTATGTCAGGTGACTGTTTTCGACCAATGGTTCTTGATCGAGCGTCCTTTCTCCTCTTTCCCGCATATCACGTGAC